CCAAGGCTAGAGGGCTCGTGTGAGCTGTGGTGAGCTAGGGAATGCAGGGTCCTGGTCCCCAGGGGCTCCATCACCCCCTCCACCCCCAAGCTCAACACAGAACTACATCACACCTGCCCCACCCTGGCACCCCCTTCCTTTCCGTACACCAGAGATGCCAGGCTGCTGCCAGCAGTTGTCTTGCTAATCACATTGTCCACAGCTGGGGCCTGCAGCTGGTGACACTTGACAGAAGGAGGCTACCCCACCCAGACTCTCCCATTCCTATGACCTACGCTTTTCCCTCTTGTCTGAATTTATTTTCTCTGTGTCATTGTCATTATGTTTTCTCAATTTCTGTCTCACACCATCTCATTGTCCCCGTTTCTGTGGGCTCTGACTAATATTAATACACAACATTTTGTATAATGCTTTAACATCCCCCTCTTCGTATGTATTTCCTCATAGACTCTGTCTTATCGCAGCCTCTCCCACCCCAGAGTCTACCTTTAGGGAACAAGCAGCTCCTATTATTTGCAGTAAAATTTAGATCTGTGCTCTGAGAGTATACAAATGGCTGCTTTTGTTTCTGTCTCTGGATGTCTCTCCCCCTCCTTTCACAATCTCTGCCTTTCCTGCCTCTTCCCTGTTTCCACCATTGAGCTTACTGTGCTTTGAGACTGGGGTCTCCCTCCACCCAGCTTCCATCGGCAGGCAGCTCACGGCCCCAGGTAATCATACTGTGGGCGACCTGATTAACTTCTCGTCTTGTCTGCAGATTAATCTTGCTCTCTGAGCACAAGCCTTGTGTTCATGTTCTGGCACAACCTGCTCTGAGCTGTGCTAGGACCCAGGGAGGCAGCTCTTCCCAAAAGGGTGAGGGGCTAGCGCTGTCGTAGGGGGGCTCTGTTTTGAATAGAGGTACATCAGGCTCTGCCCAGCCTCCCCACCCCACAGCTGCCCCCATCCTTGGCTTCTCAGAATCAGGTCGAGGAGATCCTGTCTGGCTGAGGGGCGGTGGTGACCAGAGCCTGACCTATCCTGCTCTCCACCTCATCTCCTGCTCCCAGGGCCCAAATTGTCGTCACTTTTCCAGTGAAGTGTCTGGTCATTTTCAGAAGCAATTTCAGGAGAATATGCAGCTGCTGCTCCCTACCCTGCTTTTCCTTTCCGGGGGCGGAAGGCACTGTCAACTCTCTAGGCTAGGTATGCTGGGAGCGGGGAAGGGCCAAGGTCCCTGCTCTCCGGCCTGTCCTCCCCCTATCAGTCATGTAGATGGATGCTGCTTTGAATAAGGGTGGGGGTTCCTCTCTTTCTTTACTCTCCATCTCTCCCTTCTTCTTCCTCTTTCCTGTCTCTGCCTCTCTTCTCTTCTGGAGCCCAGGACTATGTGTTTTCCTCTCCCTGAATTCTACAGGGACTCAGTTTCCCTACCTGTGTTATAAGGCTCGAATCGGCTCTGTAGCGATGGGAGAAACTGAAATTCTGTTGACCACCTCCCCACCCCACTCAGCCAGTCCAGCATTCTCAAAGTTGTTTCAGCCTCTGTGGTGCACTGGCCATCCTGGGAGTCACCTAACCCCCAAGAGAATGCAATGCCGATTTTTCTCAAGAATGTACTTTTTATTATAAGAACTCTCAACTTTTTTCTTCAAAACATTCCGGGTGTTACTTGATAGTGTTCTTTTCAAATTTGCAAATCTAAAGACCCTTGAATAAAACTTTGTCATTTAATTCTAGGGACGCCTCCTGATTCATTTTCGTTTGGTGGATACCTCCAAAGCCTCCTTCCTTCATCTCTTCTCTGACTTAGTTTAGCATCAGTTCTTTTAAGTCTTTGCTAATCCCAGAGATCAAGGGGCGATCAGTTCTCCCTGCCATTCCCTTGCTCCCCCCCATCCTTGACTCCTGCCATACTCTGTGAGACGCTACATCATCAAAGGACATTATTCATGGTGGACCTTTGCTAAAGCCTTGCTTCCCTGGTGCCAGGGCCTGGGGGCAGGGATAGATGGGTTGGCGAGGGGAGGGAGGCTGACACAGAGATGGGACCCAGGAAGGAGGCTTTAGTCTTAGCCTTCAGTCTTCTTCCTCCTGTACCCCAACTCCCTTCAGCCTGCCTAGCTTGGACTTCCTCCAAGTTGGTGGGGGGAGGAAGGGAGGAAGTGGGAGATGGCTAGGCCCAATTAGAACAACACCTGATCTTCTCAAAGACATGAACCAGTCATGCCATTTACACGTAAACAGCCTCCCACTTCTACCCCTCATCCCACCAAAGGCTCCCAACCCTGGGTCCTGGGCCCTATAATTAGGTGGATAATGAGAAGCTTTGGATGAGGTTCCATTAGCCTTTCACATCATAAAGGGGCCTAGAGACCTAGCTGCTGCCCTCATTCAGGGGTGAGCATGGGGCTCTGTGCAGCTAGAGTGACTTCTTTCAGTATGGCCCAAGTCCCAGGGTGGGTGGGTGTTGGGAGTGTGGCATGGGGAGACAAACATTTCAAGACCCTAGCAGCACTTGACAGGCTCTATGGAGGACCCACATTGTGGGTTGCAGTGTGAGAAGCTGGGCTTGGGCTTCCTTTCTGTTTTATAGATAATTTTTTTGAGCACCCATTTATATGCCAAACACTGTAGAGCTAGAGATCCAACAGCAAAATGACAAAAGTCCTTGCTCCTGTGATGCTGACATTCTGGTGGGGAGAGAGGGGTAGACAGACTTAAAATAAGTGCATGAAGAAAAGAAATAGGTGGGGGATATGGAGTATGGAGTAGTAGTAATTTTAAATAGGTTATAGATTGATTAGGGAAGGTGTTGGTGAGCAGGAAGCTTTGTAGTAAATACACTACAGAGCTATGGTTTTCTCCCCAGTGTCGAGATGTAGAAGAGTACAGGTTACAAATTTCCAGGTCTCTTGGGTAGGTGGGCCACCACTTCCTCTGGTCAAAGCTCATACCAGTGCAATAAAATGATGCAGAGATTCAGAGTGAGAAAATCTGAATCTGAGGCTGTTGTCCAGTAGGTGTATGTCCTGAAGCATGGAACTGAGCTTTTTGAGCCTCATTTTCCTCATCTGAAAAATGGGACTATTTCCTACTCACATGTGGTGATGATGAAAATCGAATGGATTGCTCTGTGCCAACCTTGCAAATGTTCAGATCCTACACCCATTATAAATGCTGGGAGTGATGAATTGCTCTGAAACAGCCTTCACTCTGCCTCTTTCCTCATCTCTTTTAGCAGCATCTTTTTGGGTCTCCTTACTCATCTTGGTTGTAACTCTGACTCTCCCCAGGAGCTCTACCTTAGGTGTGAAAAGAGCAGCATAAGCCCTCTCTACAGTGTGGAGAGTGAACAAGAAGCTTGAAAGGTGAGGGGAGAAGGTGCCTAAATCGCAGGGAGACAGATGAAAGGGGGGAAAAATGTAACTGTGATGGAAAAAGCAATTAAGAAATCGATGCTGGGGTTGGGGACAAGGGTGGGGAAACAGCTCAGCTGTAGTGTTCTGTTCCTCCCTTCCAAGATTATATCAGGAGGGCTAGAAGTTAGAACTCTAGAAGGATGCAACTAAGTCACACTGATACAGGGGTCAAGAAGGAGTGGGATGGAGAGGCTGAGGGGAGGGGCATTGGCACAGGGGGAAGATGGTGGAGAAAGCCAGACACTAAAGATCTCTGCATTCAATAGCAGGGAGAAGTACTGAATCTCAGTTCGTTTGAGGACAAAGGTGATGGATCCACTCCAAATGAGAGGAGGACAGAGGGTGAAATGAGGACTGGAGGGGATGCCAGGATCACCTCTCCATCCTCAAGGGCCTGAGCCTTGCTATTCTGTTGTCCTAGTGGTAGGCGGACCAAGAAGCACTAGCCTGAAATTATTCTAGTTGGGCAAGTCTAGTTTGAAGGTTTAAAAGCAAGGAGCTGGTGGGTGAACAAGGGTAAAAAGAGGCCCAAGGACTGCACATATTGAGCTGGACCTAGCATGGAAATTTTATGACAAACCATACACAAATCATTCTTTAATGTGCCCAGCTCAGGGGCTGTCAAAAAGTAGACTGCTGGATAACTCCAGCCTGCTGCTGGTTTTGTGGGGTGTGTGCGCACGCGCACGTGTGTGTGTGTGTGTGTGTGTGTGTGTGTGTGTGTGTGGCTGCAGCCTATACCCTCCTTCCCATCAGCCTCCCCCTCCCTTCCAGCCACCCTGGGATTGGTGATTCTCAGCCCCTCCCCCGGCTCCCCCAGACCCTCCCAGAGCCTTTATCAGGCAGCTGGGCTGGAGATCCTGCCACATTCCCAGATCCCCTTTACTCTGTTTCTCTCTTTACAGCAGCACCTGCAGCACTAGCAGCACCAGCAGCACCAGCAGGACCAGCTTTTGTGGGGAGCAAGGCAGTCCTCCCAGACAGCTCCCTGATCCTGCTAGACCATCCAGCTCTAGGCTCAAAGCTGCTCCACAGGTAGGTGGGAATGAGTGAATGTTGGAAGGACTGGAGCTGGCACCAAAGAAGAGGGGCCAGAGTTAGGAGAAATAAAGGAGGTGGCAGACTTTGATTGGGGAGCAGGGAAATGAACAGAAAGCAGAAAGAAAGGGGTTGAGAGCTAGTAATGTTTGGAGCCTTTGGGTGCAGACTGATCGTTCCATACTAGAAAGTTTTTGCCGAAGTCTTGGGGTTACCTAGTGCTGGAGAATAGAATCCAGGATCCCTCCTCAAGTCGACTTAGAAAATAGACCCATGCATGTCCTGTAAATCTATCATCTTCCTTCAGAACCTAGAGTTCCCAGCATTATTGCATCATTGCTCATTGCCAGGTGCGCATCCTGGGAAAATATTTAATGGAGGAGCAGAGAATCCAAGCTCAAGGAATATCCCCCTCTGCTCAGAAATACTCACCAGGGCTTGGATGTGGGCACTGAGGACTGGTGAATCAGGGCTACTGGTCACGAATGTTTCCTGTGTTTGCCCCTGCATCGTGTCCTCCTCCCTGCCTTTCCTTCCTGTCCCTTTGCCCTCGTAGGCACCATGCGGAGTGCCCTGCTGTTGGCAGCCATCCTGGTCCTCAGCCTGGCTCGAGGGGCTGTCTGCAAGAAGTCACAGGAGCAGATGGTGCCTGATAGGAGCCACAAGGAGGTAAAGTACTCCTCCAGCAGGACCTACCCTGGCAAAGTACGGGGCAACGTCATGGGAGCAGTGCTCCCGTAGGCTGTAGGAAGGAAAGTGGAGCAGGTGGATTGGGAGTTACCTGGGTTATCCATCAGAGGGCTGGATTTCCCTGCCTCTATAGTCAACTCATGTTTTCACTGTCTCAGGGCATGTCTGTAAGTGTCTCCATCCCTCTGCGTGAATTTGACACCTTGTATGTATGAGGTGCCCTACCAATATAATTGACTGATGACTTGCTGATTAGATGGTTCTGTGAGGGGTGGGCCAGGGTGGTCTAAGGCTCTCTATGGTCCACTCAGGTTCTGTTCCTTTGCAGGGGTGGGGGCAGATCCTCTCTATTCCCTGGATGGTATGAAACACAGAATTTTTCTCCCAAATAGTCATTTGTATGCCATTTTACCTATCGGTTATGTGTATTATTTTGTTTTCAAAATTCAAATAAATTCTCTTATTCCCTGCTCATCTACTCCCTGGTAACCTCAGGTGCTCCTAAGATCCTAACCCTTTCCTCTCCTCTCCCTTGACCCCCTCTAGTCACTGCTTAGTCAAGATAGGAAGAAAAAAAAAAAGAACACAAAACGGGTTGGGCCCTGATTTTCAAAGTTCCTCTATGGAAAAGAATAGGACTTGTCAGGGTAGGGCTACAGGAGGAGAGCAAGGAGGAAGTCTTTTTAAGGTTTTGAAATGATAGCAATTACATTGGTACAAATGCTTTTAAGATGATTATAGGTGGAACTTATTACAAATTCAGTGAGTGAAGTCAAATTTCCTCTCCAGCTCAAGTCTGTTTAGCATCTCATTACAGGAGGTGAGCAGAGCATTTGAACAATTTGGGGAACGTGGCTGCCTGGGAAACTATGCACTAGGCAAAGAGAGAGATCGCCAGCCTTCCTCTAGCTGGTGAGGTGTCCCAGGGCACAATAGGCTGGCAGCCTTGCAGGTGGCAGCAGTTGTACCACATCCCAAAGACAAGAGCCAGTTCACAAAACACACAGGGAGTGCCAAATATGGGCTGGACGCTGTGTTCAGAGCCCAAAGTTCCAGCTCAAGATAGAATTTCTGGGTATATTTGCTTTGAGACCTTGCCCCTCTTGGTCAGTGAAAGAGAGAGATTGCTGCTCACCCCTTCTCCTCGAAGGTCTGTGAAGGTGAGGGAAATTGGAGCAGAAAGAAGGTAAGATATATGAGTGCCTAGGCAACTGGGTTGGTTTGTGTGGGGGTACATCCTGTGTCAATGTGCTTCTGTGTGTGCTTGGCAGCCCAGGGACGTGTGGACTCTGGAGAGAGAGGCACCTCTGAGATTCAAGGTGAGAATCTCCAAACATGATCATTGTCATTGTCTCTTCGTGGCTGCAATGAACTGGGTGTGTGGTGTGTGGTATGCGGTATGTGCCCGCCAACCATCCTGCTGTGCCCAAGTTGCTAAAAAGATCTCTAAGACAATTAAGAGCTCTGATTGGCAGCAACTCCAGAACCTAGGGTTCACTTGTGGGGTGGAGGAGAAAAGGTATCACTCTGAGCTTGCTGCCTTCCTAAAAATTTAAATCCAGGGTAGAAAGGGGGAGAGGGAGAGAAAACCAGAGGCAGAAACCCATGGAGAAGAAAAGAGTGAGAGGCAGTGGTAAACGTAGGGAGAGAAAAATCCATAGACATAGCACAGAGTGGGGGGATCTTGGGGTTGCAGATGTACCCCAGCTGCCTACTCCCACCTGTTCCCAGGACCGAATCCTGTCTGCAACTCATTCATGGAGTACAGACCCAAAGAAACTTGCCCTGTCTGATGGGCCTCTCTTGTGAGTGGGGAATTCATGGCTCACTCAGTGAGGCAACCACATCCTTGGGCAAACTAGTTCCTCACATGCCAGGGAGCAAAGAACAGATGGCCCTGCTCACTGAGGAGCTGGGAGAGGACCTCAAGGGACAGGGCTCAGAGGGGCCCTTGAGCTTGGGTAGCGTGGCCAACTGTCCCAGTTTTGCTAGGACCATCTCAGCTTGAGCACCGAAAGTCCCACATCCCATAAAGGCCCTTAGTCCTGAGCAAAGGGACAGCTGGTCAGCCTGCGGGGATGCCCAATGTATTTCCTTTACCAAGGCTTCTCAAACCTTGCTGTGCATGTGAGTCACCTGGGGCCCTGGTTAAAATGCAGATTCTCTCTCAGTAGGTCTGAGGTAGGACTGAGATTATGCATTTAATTATAACAAGCTCCTGGTGGTGATGCTGCTGGTCCACGGACCACACTTTGAGAGCCACTTCTCTTCCATTGTAAACCAGAGGAGATCCTGGAAGAAATAACTGTCAGGTCCAGCTGTGATAGACTCAGAAAGAGACTGTTTATTGTGGGAAAAGAGTGAGTGGATCAAGTGTGAGCCCCTTGCCTCAGCCCTCTTTGTTTTTCTCCCATAGAAGCTCCCGGATATCAACCAGTTGCTCAAGACACTCTCTAGCAGTGGCTCAGTCTCTGTGGATGAATTGCTCAAAACTCTGGGCAAAGCTAGCAAGGGTAGGAAGCAGCCCTGGGGAGGGAGGCATGTGGGGATAGGATTGTGAAGATTAAATAGGCCTGGGAGACCCCTTCAGGTGGGAAGAAGACTGGAGGTGGCCTAGTAATTAATTGAAGATTGTGATTTGAACCACCCCCTAATTGTCACGTTCCAAATTCCACTTTCCAGTAACACACTTGTTCTTGGTTTCACAGATCCCAAGACATTGTCACTCTTCCAGAAACGTGAGTAGCCTCATCTCCCTCCCTATCTGAGCTGACCACTTGCCCAGAGCTCTGTGGGTGTGGAGCTCACTGACTATTTTGGCAGGCCCGATCTCAGGTGGTGCAAACAATATGCAACGGTTCGGCTAGCCTTGCCTGAATGTGAGAGGCCCCTGGGAACTGGGAAGAAGCAGGTGTGAGGGGCATGGTGGATTCTCCCTCTGCTGGCTGGTCATTGGAAACCAAGAGGATCTCTTGGTGGCTGTGAAGAGTCTAAGCCAGTCACCCGTTGGGGCAGAGAATTCATGAAATGTGAAGGAGGGAGAGGTGGTCAGAGAGTGTGGGTTTAGGAGTAGCCTGCTAACTGTGAGGAATCAAGCTGTGGAAAGAGAAAAAATCAGAAGGCAGAAATTCAATCTCAGAAGACTTGATATGTGTCTGGGGAAACATATCAGCCTCTCATCGTCACTGTGGACAATGTTGGCCTTTTTTTTTCCTGCAGGCGATATGCATGACTTCTTTGTGGGACTTATGGGCAAGAGGAACATCCAGCCAGGTATGAATATGTGGAGTACAGTGGAAGGGTTTAGAGGACTGGCCAAAATATGTGGAAGTCAAAGGCTTTATATTTGTCCTTAAAGGGAAAGACAGGACTTTTCTTAACTTTAGTGAGGGTTCCTTGGCCTCTTTTACCCAATTAGCTTGGATCCACAGTGCAGCCCTCCCTGGGAGCAGAGTGGGGAGACCTTTGTAAGATAGTCCCACTGCAGCTGGGGAAGGAAGGTGGTCAGGGAGGCTCTGCCTCCTCCCCTTCTCCCAAACGAAGCATGCCTCTTCTTCCCAACTCTGTCTCCCAATGCTGCCCTTCATAGCCAGCCCTTCATTGCTGGGTCAGGGTGAAGGTCACATTCAGAAAAATCTCTCCTAATTAAACTGCTTACTTCACCCCAGACACTCCTATTGATGTGAACCAAGAGAATGTCCGCAGCTTTGGTAGCCTCAAGTATCCTCCCAGTGTGGAATGAGGTAAGGATTGTTGGTAAGGGAAAGGAGAGGGGACTATGTGTGTGTAGGTTGCTAGAAAAGCATTTCCTCTGATGCTACAGGCATCGAATAGTCATAAATTTGCCCTAAAATATGCTACCAGGGCCCAGCACACTGTCAAACACACCAACACTTAGAGGTACGTGCTAGTCTGCACACACACACACACACACACACACACACACATCTTTTTTCATAGCTTTCCTCTGGGGCTTCTCTGATGGGCAACGTCTGTTGGTTGGAATCTGTTCTCTCCTGATCTGTACAAAAGATGGAGAGATCATCATCTGACAATTACAGGTACCACATTCAATTCACAGGCGAAGTGTTTTGCCTTCCAGTCAGGCCGAACTGTTCAGATCATTCAGATCATTCAGAATCTCTGGTTACCGGGATTCTATTGTGTAGTTCTACACAAAGGTGATTTAGAAAGAAATGCAAGGAACTCTGAACTCTAATGGGGAGTGTCTTAGTCGCTTCGTGTGGCATAGTAAGAGCATGGCTGTTTGAATCCTGGATCTGCCACTCACTAGCTGTGTCCCTTGACCAAGTTACATAACCCCTTGTCCCTCCATTTTCCTATCTGAAAAATAGGGATGATAATAGTACCTTGCAGGGCTGTACCTTGTGGTTTTCAGTATAGGTTAAGTGTTCGGAACAGTGCTGGGCACGCCATGCCGTGTTGGCTTTATGATTGCTGTGGTCTGGGGGGTGTAGGAATTGTCCTAGTGTTTCCCCTGGCTGGCTCTGGTCTGTTTGCCAAGGGTGGTCTGGGCTGGACTCCAGGCCTGAGTGGGCTGAGATCTCTCACTTGGTGTGCAAGTGTGAGAGTCTCCCAGGGAAGTGTCTAGTCAAAACATGGAAACTCCTCCTTGGCACAATCTTCCCACACATGACAATAGCAGCTCAGCCGATGGCTTTCTTTGCACTCACTACCAAAGAAAGAAGAGGTGGGGGGAGAGAAGGAGAGAGATTGGGATGCCTCAGTTTCACAGAGAGACTGTTGCCCCTTTCCCTGCTTCCCTGTTACACTCATTGGTCTCAAGGGAGACCCAAGGAGCAGGAGCTAGCTCTCAATATAGCTGCCTGTGCATGACTCCCTGGGCCCAGAGATGAGGTCTGGCCCCCCATTCAGTTTGGGTGAGAGGGCGCAAAGAGCCGTAATAACCATAACTCACTGATTACATAGTACTTACCGTATCATTTTGCTCTCATTAGATGGTTATTTCAGTCCTGCCGACCGCCAGATAATTATACGGGCAGCTATATCTGGATGACATACTCTCCCCCAGCGTTATGCATGGGCCATAAAGATAATTACAGTGCAATTTTCCCATAGTATTTTATACAAATAACAGAAACAAGTGCATTGTGGAAATCTACTTTTACTGCTTGCTGGTGAATCTAGGCTCTTTCAGAGGGACTAGGCCCATAATTGCAGCCTTCATAATCTCACCACTGGAGCATTCTCAACCTGTTAGATGCCAGGAAGAATAGGACATCAGGTCCCTGGCGGCTGGCATTTAAAGGAGATTAGATGAGATGAATCAACAAAGATTATTGTATCATTGTATTTCATTCCGGGAAATTGCTGAAAAAGGAAGTGGTCCCTGGGCCTGTCCTTGCTCTGGGAGGTTTCTGGAAAGAGGAGGAGGGACTGGGTGAGATTAGAGGAGCATTAGCACCAGGGCGTCTTGGATGGGGCTGCGTGTATGTCTGGCTCATGGGGATGCTAGGATGATATGAACTTTGTTGCTACATCTTTTGCATAGGCCCCACAGACCATGCACACAGGTGTTTATAAGTAGCAGGTGTTTATAAGTAGCATGAGAAATACAGAGCTGGGAAGGTACAAGCACCTGCAGCTAGAGGAGTTTGGTCCTCTAGTTCAAGGGCTGAGGGACAGCTGTGCATAAGATTTCTGTTCTCTCCTTCTCCCTTACAGATGCCCTTCCCCTTCTCCTCCTGCTTTCCCAGTGGGTGGTTGGTGGGAATTTTACAGGACAGAAGATGTGATTTTATTTTTTTGGTCCTCAGAACTTCACTTCTGGACTCCTGGGCTGCATCACGAAGACACCATGTCACCCTCTCTGAGTCCCCAGGTGTATGCACTTCTATTTCTCTTTCTCTTCCCAGCCTTGTAACACTCTTGTGCTTTGACTCCTTCTCCATCCCTCTACCCAACGCTGACATAGAAACTGCACAGTGAGCATCCCCAATCCCAGCCCACATTGACTACAGAGTCCCCTGGCCTCTTCAACAATAAAGGATTTTTACATATGACCTATAGTGATGTATTTGTGTAGTTGGTGGGTGGGTGGTTTTTTTCTCTTCCTTGACTCTTCCAGCTATACCATACCTACATATATACATATGATATGCACACAAATATCATATATAAATGGAAGTATCTTTATTTTGTATACATCAACATTCCCAGCAGCACCTTAACTCAGTGGTTTATACAATTAGCATCAGAAAATTTATTTAGTGATTAAAAAATAAATGAATTTGGAATATGGTTTCTAGCACTCAAAGAATTTCACAGATTAACTTCAGATAAAGGAAAAACAGATACTGTGAAGGGCTTGTCTGTATTTGTAGGACGAGTGTGGGAAACATTAACCCCTGAATCTGACTCTACTCAGAGAAGGGAAATGGGGATTAAGGCTGTGTAAAGACTCAGCCACAGAGGAGGATGCATCTCTAGTACTGTCTCATTATTCTGTCCCCAAATGTTTAGCATGAGTCCTACCACAGGTCATGGGGGTGAGATGGTGACCTGTACACAGTGTTTACAGTCTAGCAGGGCCGTGGACAAGAAAACAATTCTAGATCCCTGCCAGGATGGGGCATGAACAGGGAAGTTACTGCAGTGGCTGAGAAAGAAGGGAGCAGATATTTTCAGTGTTAATTGGCCACCTTAGGTATTATAAGGGGAAAACATTTATTTCAGACTCTTCTAATTCCCTGTAATGCTGGCCTAGTACTCTGCCGTATATGTAAGGCACTTAAATGAGAAGTGTGTGGGTGTCTTTTATTAATTTGATGTGCCAACTATCACAGCCCACTCATCCCAAACGGGTGTTCTGTACCCTAATGGAACAGCCTGAAAAATCCTCAGACTCTCTATCTTAGCCTGGCGCAGGGGCCTTGGCCAAGCCCCTGAACTTCCCTGAAACAAGCCAATGTTCAGCTCTCCCGGGGAAGTGTAAAGACAGGGCCATGGAGCCCAAGGCCATTTCCTGCAGTGCCTTCACCCCCGTAAAAGTCCTTTCCTCTCAGAACCTGACTAGGGCAACTTTGGAGCCATAGCTGTATGGTAGGACAAAGGAGGAAGGAGAGCTCACCTCAGGATTCCTAGTGTCAGATTTATTGCTAGAGGTCAAAGAATGCCCTCATCCCAGATCCTCAAGACTTTCTCTGGTGAGTCATCTTGTTGGCTTTTCGAAATTATTTATCTAGAGGGTTTAAAAGTGGTATAGCTTTTGCAGAGTCTGGGGAATTTATTTGGGTCATGAAAGCTTCAAGAGGTGGTTCTGCTCAGACTTGGGAGACTGGTGTGTGTGCTGTGATGACACAAGCGCTTTGCTAAGTAGGAGCATAAATGCAGAAAGGTCGCTCTCTGGCGGAACTGACAAAAATTGCAGGATTCCAGGAAAAATGAAAACATTTTAAATCTGATTCTTGTTTCTAAAATGGAATGGGTAGACTACAACAAACTAAAAAGTTTTTGTACAGCAAAGGAAACCATCAACTAAACAAAAAGACAACCTACTGTTTGGGAGAAGATATTCGCTGATGATACATCTGATAAGGGGTTAATATCCAAAATTTATAAAGAACTTATATGACTCAACAACAAAAAACACAAACAATCCAATTAAAAAATGGGCAGAAGACCTGAACAGATATTTTTCCAAAGAGGAAATACATATGGCTAATAGATATATGAGAAGATGCTCAAGGTCGCTAATCATCAGAGAAATGCAAATTAAAACCACAATGAGATATCACCTCATACCTGTTAGAATGGCTATCATCAATAAATCAAAACACAACAAGTGTTGGTGAGGATGCCGAGAAAAGGGAACTCTCAAACATTGTTGGTGGGATTGCAAACCGGTATAGTTCCTATGGAAAACAGTATGGAGGTTTCTCAAAAAATTAAAAATGGATATACCTTTTGACCCAGTAATTGCACTTCTGGGTATTTATTCAAAGAAAACCAAAACAATAATTCGTAAAGATCTATGTACCCCAATATTCATGGCAGCGCAATTTACAATAGGCAAGATATGAAAGTAACCTAAATGCCCATCAACAGACGATTGGATAAAGAAATTATGGTTCATATATACAATGGAATATTACTCAGCCATTAAAAAAAAAATGAAATCCTACCATTTGCAATGACATGGATAGACCTAGAGGTTCTTATGCTGAGTGAAATAAGTCAGACAGAGAAAGATAAATACCATATGATTTCATTTATATGCAGAATCTTAGGAACAAAAAGAACAAGCTAATCAAAAACAGACCCACAAATATAGTGGACAATTTGATGACGGATGAAGGAGTGGGGTATTGTGGGGCTGGGAGAATGGTGTAAAGGGTTAAAGAAGTACAAATCGGTAGTTGGTAGTTGGTCACAGAGGTGGGGCGCACGGCATAGGGAATGTAGTTAGCATTAATATGACGGCTAAGTGGAGGGCCAGGAGAGGGAGAGAACAGATGGGGGGATCATTTTATGAACTATATAAATGTCTAACCAATGTACTGTATGCTTGAAACTAATTTAATTGAAGAAATTTTAAAAAATGGATGGGTGAAGGAATTCTGGCCCTCCTCTTCTTGTAAAAATGTTGATGCCTAGGGATACCTGGTAAACAAGTTTTTGACTGAGTTCATGGCCCTTCTTCATTTAGTTTTGTGTATGTGTGTTGTTGTGATTGCATAATTACTTATTTAAAACAGATTTCAATATTAAATGTTCTGGATCCAATTCCACAGTGTGTGGATGGGGAGGTTTCCCCACACCAACAAGCAATGCTCTGACACTATATACCCAGAGATGGGATCAGATTCCATGGGATGAGGTCTTATTCCAAGACTGCCCCCCAACTCCAGATGCCAATCCAGGCCCAGCTTGTTATCTGTGCCTCTGACTGGCTACAGATCGAAGGTTCCTGCGACCTGTTCCCTGGGTTCAATTAATTTGCTAGAGTGGCTCACAGAACTCAGAAAACCCATTTACTCACTAGATAACTTGTTTATTATAAAAGGATATAATTCAGGAATAGCCAGACAGAAGAGATGCATAGGGCAAGGCACGGGCGAAGGAGCATGGAGCTTCCATGCCCTCTCTGAGTGCACAACTCTCCTCCTTCGGAATCTTCAAGTGTTCACCAACCTGGTTGCTCTCTGAACTTTCAGTTTTTATGAAGGCTTCATTACATAGGCATCGAGGAATAGAGTGAAGAAATAGAATAGAGTCGCTATAGTCAAGCTGCTAAATTACTAAAGTAGGTTGAAGCATGAAGAAATGATTGTATTCTTATTTTTAACTAGCCTGGGCACTTAAACTTTTGAACTTTCCAGTCCTGCCTCAATGCCTGGATATACACCAAACCTCTAGATAATCCTCTGATTACCCCTTGAAGGACTAAGGATAAAATGTTTATGTATCCAGACCATCTGACGTTCATTATCCAGACCACGGGTCATCTAGAGGATTATTACCATGCTGGACCAATCCAGAGGCTAAGAATATCGAACTGATTCTTCTCAAGAATGTACTTTTTACTATGAAAACCCTTAGCTTTTCTTTCTTCTTCAGAACACTCTAGGTATTGCCTAGTTGTGTTACTGGTTTGTAAACCCTAAGACCCTTGAATAAATCTTTATCATTTATTTCTAGCCAAAGCCTACAGAATCTTCCAGAGTTCACTTGATACCACGATTAAGTCATTGACCATCGGTGATTGATTCTACTTCCAGGCCCTTCACTCTCCTCCCTAGAGGTCAGGGGCTTGGGATCACTGCAATAAAGTGAATATTGCAATAAAGCGAGTCACAGTTTTATTGCATATAAAAGTTATGTTTACACTATATTGTAGTCTATTAAATGTACAATAGCACTATGTCGAAAAAAACAATGTACATACCTTACTTTAAAAGTACTTTATTGCTTAAAAAATGCTGTTCATCATGTGAGCCGGTTGGAAGAATGGCACTGATAGACTTGCTTGACACAAGGTTGCCACTGTTAAAAAACAAAATTCAAGCAAGTAAATTTAAAGATCAAATTGGCTTTATTCACCAATTCATGAATCGGCAGCCAATCCCATGTAGCAAATAGAAAAGAGCTCTGAAGGGCTGTAGAAGAGGAAAGGCTTTAAAGTCAGAAAGAGAATGGGACAAGGAAGTTATTTTGCAGAGTGGATTGTTCCAGGCAAGGTCACCTTCCTCTGTGGTTCCGCAGGTCCAATCAGGCAGATTACCTCACTACTGCTGACTAGGAAATTCCAGACTAATTGGTTAAGATTACATTCCTGAGAGAGGTTTGAAACGGCGGTTACTTTAGGTATTAAGTCTCGGTTTGGTAATGTAGACATAGCACAAGTGACTCCATTTTGGGCCTGTGGCCTCTTTTTTAACAGGTGGTTAATAAGATCGTTGGTTAGAAAGATTGAACTGGCCCAAGGGTCTTGTAAGTCTTGTAGCCTAATGTCTTAGAGTCATGCTGGAGGTTTGTAGTCTATTGGTTGTATGATGTTCCACCTCAGGGCCACTTCCAGCTGTAGGGGTTGGGCCTGCCATTGAAACATTTATCAGTCTCCAGCTGACCCTTTCAGAGAGAGCTAAGTGAGACTGCCTGCTTCCGAACAACAAGATCAGGTCATATGGTTGATTTTGCACTTCCTTGCTCGTAAATATGACGTTTGGCAGCATTTTATATTATGCTTGCTTTCAGTATTATCTACCACGAGCTAGTGAGGTTGTAGAAAAGCGGACGGACAATATCCCAAATTCATCAAAATAACTGATGACTGCTGAACAGCCAAACTGGCTTAGATCAGTTGGCATCATCCTGTGTGTCCTCCTCTTCTCATTCATCTATCCAGGAATTACAGAATTCTATCATCTGCCTGCCCTGGCTTGTACCTGGCTGCCTTCTATCATCGGGCAGTGGTACGATGAGACAGGAGGGAAGCCGAAATAGAAGGGTCCAAGAGCTTGAGGGGTTCCTATGTATTGAGAAGGGAGAGACCTAGAACAGGGAACAAAATGAGAGCTTGGAGTTGGGATAAGGTTTTTCACTTCTCCAGGAACCAGGGCGAGGAGGAAGTGGCCCTCCATCTGGTGGATCAGAGCTTCAGAAACGCCAGAACTAAGGGGGTCGGAAACGCCCCAGGGCTGCGAAGGGGGTGGAGGCAGGTCCGGGGCGGGGGTCCCGGGCCGAGCGGGGGCTGGGCGGGCGGAGGGCGGCC